GGTCGTGGTGAGGTCAGGCTCAGGTCACGACCTCGGAGCCTGCTTGCGATTCTCTCTCTCAAAATAACTAAATAAACTTTAAAATAAAGCAAAATGTTTCAGGTATGAGGATCCATCTCCCAAAGGCAATGTTTAGCCCGTTAAGCACGACTTTCTCCCCCACGGGTAAAGCATGGCCGGTCTGGGGACCCAAGTGTCGCCCTGCAGCCTCGGCTCTCCTCCAGGACCCCGTAGTTGTCCATGATCCAGAAACTAAAGCGTTAAGCCTCCAGAGCAGAGGCCTCCTGGGCCACATAGTGGAGACCATTCTGACAGGTTGCCGCCCACGTCATGCCCAAGTTGTTACCATTTCTGTCGTCACCGCTGCACCTGCCGAGCCACGTGTGGCTGCCCCAGGTAAGACAGGCCCCTCATGTTGCCTCAACTCCTGCAGGCCCTAACAGCCTGTTACTTTTATTTCCTCCCCACACTCCCTTTAGATGACGCTTCACTGTGTGCCCCTCTGATCATGGTGCTCTCGGGCCCACATTCTCTGACTGGTCATTTTTTCCCATGACAAGACCCAATTTTCCCGGCCTGGATGTCAACCCCCACTTCCTAAGCTTATGCCCCCGCTGACTGCCCCTCCCCCCTGCACCGAGACAGACTGTCCATTCACACCTTGCTCCTAAGTGTCCCCTGACACCTTTTTGGCTCAGTGCTTCTTACCCTGGGCTGTCCTGAGAAACACTTAGGGAGCTTTAAAAGCTCCTGATGGCCAGGCCCGGCCACAGAACAGCTGAGTCAGAATCTCTGGGAGAGGAGAACCAGGCATCCCTATTAAAGCTCTCCAAGTGATCGTGAAGAGCCGGCAAGGGTGACGCCCACCTCACCTGAAATGTCCTCCTGTGTCTCAGCTGGCCTGAACCCTACCCATTCCTCCAAGTTCAGCTCCAGGGTTCTCTCTCCATGAAGCCGCCCTGCTCTCCTGTGCAAACAGCACTTTCTGCATGGGTCCTACCCTTTCTCACAAACAAGTGAAAATTATATTCACTTGTGTGAATGCTGGCCTCTCCCACGAATCAAGAATTACAGACATTTTCTGGAAACGGCCAGGTGGTAAATATTTTAGGCATTATGGGACATACAGTCTCTGTCAAGACTACCTAACTGTTGTTGTAGCATAAAAGGAGCCACAGGTAACATGTGAATGAATAAACGTGGCTGTGTTTGACCAAGTCTGCATTTGCGAAACCTCACGGTGGGCTAGATTTGGCTTGAGAGCTGCAGTTGCTGATTCCCCAGGGTAAGACTAATATAGCGCTTTAGGGGCAAGGATTTTTGCTTTTTGTTTTTTTAATATTTCTTTTCTTTTTTTCCCCATGTTTATTCATTCTTGAGAGACAGAGAGCACGAACGGTGGAGGAACAGAGAGAGAGGGAGACACAGAATCCAAAGCAGGCTCCAGGCTCTGAGCTGTCAGCACAGAGCCCAAAGTGGGGCTCAAACCCACAAGCCATGAGATCATGACCTGAGCTGAAATCGGACACTCAACGGACTGAGGCGCCCAGGCCCCGCAAGGATTTTTTTTTTTTTAAAGAGAGACAAAGAGAAAAAGAGAAGGGAGAATCTTAAGCAGGCTTCGCATCCAGTGCAGAGCCCAGAGCAGGGCTCAATCCCACAACCCTGGGATCACGATCTGAGCCAAAATCAAGAGTTAGACACTCAACCGACAGAGCGAACAGGTGCCCCAGGGGCAAGGAGCTTTCAGTCTCTTTCTCCTTCCCTCTCTGGCCCCCTCTCTCTTCAGCCCTAGTGTCTATCACAGTGCCTAAATCAGTGACAGAAACCCATCAAATGCCCTTTGTGAGGGTCTATGCCGTCAGACTCTCACAACCAAGCCTAGAGCACAGATAAGGCAAAGCAAAGCAGGAGGACTCAGAGTTTGTCAAGCCCAACTTTTAGCAAAGACATTAACATTTCACCTTACCTATCATTCCCAACAGAACTGTCAAAACAATCTTCGTTTGCAGCGCAGACACACTCATCGACAGCGGAAACGCGTTCCTGTCCCAGAACTAACTCCCCAGCCATACAGATTCCCTTGCACCCTGCTGTAGGCCGGTGAGCACCTTGCAAAGATAAAAAAAGAGCGAGGAGACCCGGGAACTGGCAGGAGCCAAGGTGAGGGCCTAGGATAAGAGAGAATCCCGGCCAGTAGAGATGGTCACTCATTCCCAGCGCCCCGTTCTTAATCCTGGGAAGCCAACCACCGAGCTCAGGAGCTCCTCATGTCTGCCCGGAGCTCTCGGGTGGGAGGCCGGGAAAGGGAGAAGGGCCAATTGATGCAGAGGGAGGAGTGTGTCCAGAGCCCCTCCCCCGCTGCCGTCCTTGGAACCCATCGCAGGGGTAGTTTGACGTGGTGCTCTCCGACTTCCCCTCCTACGGACTCAGGGTGGATGTGAGGTTGGTGGACTCACGTGGGTAGAGGGAGGAGTCGCAGGCTTGGATTGAGATCTCTGTGCCGCCGTAGACCCACCCCTGCTGACAGCCCTCAGAAGCCCCTAGACCCTTGGGTGGATGTGACTCTCCCTGACTTCTGCCTTGAAGCTTTGGGAAGGTGAGGAAGGTCGTCGGATGGACGCGGTCTCGGGTTAGCAGAGAAGGGAATTCCAGGTATCAAGGTAAGGACACTGACTGTGGACTGAGGCCACCACCACGCCCAGCACCAAGAGGGCACGACTCTGTGGGGCTCTCTGGCATCGGCACTGGAGCCCTGGCACACTTGCGCGTGGACGGCAACATGGAGGGGGCGGGCCTAGGCCTAAGCGCCAAGGCCATGGTTCTGCTACAGGAAGAAGCCTGTGCACCAACGAGTCCTGGTGAGACCCTGAGCGCTTCTGAAGGGACCTTCCCCCGAAAGGGGGTGAGAGGCTAACCGGACCTAAGAGAAGCAGGCAGGGATGACCAGATGCCATGCTCCTGAGCTTCCTGTCTAGCGACCGAGGGAGGTAAGGACTTGGGGATGAGGCCAACAGACCCAGATCAGTAGGGGAGCCCCAGGTCTTGCTGCCTATTCAGTGGGATCGCAAACAGCCCTTCCCCCATTCTTAGCCATCGGAGGCCCCACCCCACACAGCGTCAGATGTACGGAGGCCTGCCCTGACCTCCACTGTGCGGAACTCGCAATGTGAGGACCCTGGCCTTGAACGCCGCGGATTTAAGTGGAGGCTGGAGTTCTAGAACTGGTCAGGTCTGACGGTGGAGGTCCTGAATATGGATAGACACAACCATCCATGTCCTTGCCCAACCCCCCACCCCCACCCCCAGTTCTGGGAGGTTCCAGCAGAGCTGTGGGCCCTACCTACTTGCAATATTCCAGGGAGAGGAGGGCGTGGTCTAAGGAAGTGGCTCCAATTCTGCAGCAGGAGGAGACCAAGGCCCTAATGGGAGTCCAGAGTGAGGACGCTGAGTGCTAATGAGAGGACTTCAGCCCAAAAGAGGGGGCAGACCCAAACCCCTACCCATGCTCTCAGCTCCCGGAGGCTCTGGGTAGGTGCACCCAGATGTGGTTTGTCCCAGCTTCCCCTCCAGTGACTCCAAGTGTAGCAGGATTCTCACACAGAGTCATGACACTGAGGCTTTTCTTTCCAGGAAGCAACTTTATTCCTGCGGGCCCGGATCATTTGGGTTCTGACCGAAGAAGTGAGCCGTGAGTGCCATGTGGCATAGTTTTTATATATTTTCTATTTTTTTGTCTCCCATATATGGGAACACACGAACACACAGTCTGATTAAGTGGTCTCATGTTATAAGGTCCTGAGGGATGTTATCACGTACCCATATAGCCAGGTGGCCTTGAGGTTTTTGTTTTGTTTTTTCCTCTCCTTAGGGAGGGGACCCTATCACAAGAGAAGTGAGGACCTTGATCTGGTTGACTCAGTTCATTATAACGAGGAGTCAGAATTCCTGAGCTGAGCCCAAATCAGAACCCTGAGTGAGGACAGGGCTAATGACCCAGATGGAGAACTGTGAGATCCCACAGAGTCCCCTCCTTGTTCTTGGGCTTTGTAGGCCCCAAGCAGACTTGTTGGACGTGGCTCACCCCAGGCTTCCAACTCTGAGGTCCGGTCTAAGCAAAGACCTTGGTGTAAAAGGCATGGACTCAGGTCCACTGAAGGTGGAGTCCCTGAACTGGTCAGGTGACGATACTGAGTGAGGAAAGGGGGACCAGTTAACTCCCAGTGGTGACGGCTGCACCGAGCCTCACCCCTATCGGGCCCAGGGCAGAGCGAACAGATTCAGGTGCCCGCTGACTTCAGCTTGCAGGGTTTCAGTAAATGAGGGCCTTGGTTTAAGGACCGCTTGCCCCGGTTCAGCAGAGAGAGGAGTCCCAGGCCCTATCGGGAGTGAAGGTAAAAATGCTGTGTGAGCAGTGGGGGAAGCAGCCCCTTCAGAACAGAGGAGGCTGCGTGAAGCCTTCGTGGTGGTGTCAGCCTAGAAAGCTGTGTGCAGAGCTTTTAGGGTGAGATGACTGATTTCTTAGGTGGCCGGGAGCTGCATCCGACAGGAGCAGAGAAGTGAAGGTCTTGGATGCAGGCAGGGCCAGCAGGCTGCAGCCTAAGCCACACTCTGACTTCCTCCACCACGTCCTCAGGGGACAGATGGACTGAGAGACCAGAAGCCCTGTGGGGGTCCTATGGCAGTGCCCTCAAGGATACCAATGGGGGGGGGGCATTTGTTTTTGTTACATTTAAGACAGAGCACAAGTGGGGAGGGGCAAAGAGAGAGGGAGACACAGAATCCGAAGCAGGCTCCAGGCTCTGAGCGGTCAGCACATAGCCCGATGCGGGGCTCGAACCCACAAACCGTGAGATTGTGCTCTGAGCTGAAGTCGGAGGCTTAAGCGACTGAGCCAGGCAGGCAACGGGGGCATTCGTAAAGCCACAGTGACATCTCCCTAATGACGGGACTCACACCCTTTTATCCTCTTCCTCCAGGCGCTCACGGGCCAGTCCCACTCTGGCCACTGTTCATAAGTGCGGTCATGCCTCGAGGTCAGAGGAGTAAGCTCCGTGCCCGTGAGAGACGCCAACAGGCCCGAAGTGAGAGCCGGGCTCTTGCAGAAGCTCAGGCCGCCGCAGCGGTGTGGGAGTCCTCCTCCTCCCCCCTGCCTGTTTCTGAGGGTGCTCCCCCCAACCCCCCGGCAGCAGGTTCTCTCCAGAAGGCTCCCAGGGTCCGGGCCGCCAGCGGACGTGCTGCAGCCACTTCAGGCTTCAGTACTGATGAAGGTGCCAAGAGCCAAGCGCAGGAAGGGCCAGGCTCGCCCCGGGCCACGCCGTCCCCCGGAAGCGCTCACAGAGATCCCCTGGGCGAGGAGGTGGGCCTGTCGGTGCAGTTTCTGCGGCACAAGCATAAAGCGGGAGAGCCCACTGCCCGCAGCAGCGCTGCAGATTACCACCGAGGAGTACCAGGAGCGGTTCCCTGAGATCCTCCCGAGAGCCACGGAGCGCACGGAGCGCACGGAGCTGGTCTGGTCGTCGGCCTTGACCTGAAGGAAGTTGACCCCGACAGTCAGCCTTATGCCTTTGTTAGGAAAGACGATCTTCCCGTCGAAGGGCGCCTGAGCGATGGCGTGGGCTTTCCCAAGAATGGGCTCCTGATGCCTCTCTTGGGGGTGATCTTCATGAATGACAACCGTACCTCTGAGGAGGAGATGTGGGAATTCCTGAATGTGTTGGGGGTCTATGCCGGGAGGAGGCACCCGATCTTTGGGGAGCCCAGGAAGCTCATCACCAAAGACCTGGTGCAGGGAAAGTGCCTGGAGTCCTCGGTACGACTTCCTGTGGGGTCCGAGGGCCCACGCTGAAACCAGCAAAATGAAGGTCCTAGAGTTTTTGGCCGAAGCCAGCAAAACCGCCCCCAGTGCCTTCCAGGGCCGATATGAGGAGGCTGTGAGAGAGGAGGAAGAGCGAGCCCAGGCCAGAGCTGAGGCCAAGGCTGTTGCTGGCGCCTCTTCCAGCAGCGCCTCTCAGCCCTAGTGAGGTCCGAGACAGGGTCTCCGCTTTGCAGATGGGAAGTGCCGGGCAGCCCTTCCGCGGTGGGGGGTCAGGTGGAGCCGGGGAGAGCAGAGTTTATTTCTTCTTTGTGTTCCTGTTATTTAGAAAGAGCATATAGATCTACCTCTTTTTTTTTCTTATCTTTCCAGTGTGTTCTTTTTAAAAAGGTTGATTTGAATTCAGAATCGTAAGTTTATGAATAACGCGGCTCGCATACTTAGTGCTGCTTATCACATTTGAGAGTAATCGTTTCCTATTTTGTGAAACAGATTGAAAACCCTTGCATCTGCTATTGTGATCCAGTATGAGAAAGAGCACTGGAATAGGGATTTTCAGTCAAATGTACGAGAACCCCGCAGTGGAACAGTTGAGGTGTAACTAAATGGTGAAATAAATAAAAAGTGGTTAATTCTTGGTTTTTCTTAATTCTTTCACTCTTTCTTTTGGTAAAATGAAAAGATATATACCTGGATTTGTGTAGCTTTTCAAGAATGTGGGAGAAGTCAAACTGTCACAAATTAGAATTCTCACTCACTATCTCTTTTGTTCACCGTGCATTCTAGGATGTGTGCGCAAGAAGGCCCAGCCCCTGCAAATGATAGTGCAGAGTCCAAGAGAAGCTATCATATAAGGAACATGGTGAGATACACCCCTGATCCTGAAAGGCAGTAAACAGAAGGGAGAACGAGGGAGGAGATTTCCGTCTAAGCAGTCCGGGTAAATACCCTGAGCCGAGGCAGGCTGGGAGCCTGGGAAGCTGAGGGTCCCTCTGTGGGAGGGAATTTTAAGTTCGGTTGCATGGAAATGGTGAGCGGGCACCAGAGCCCCAGATGCTGGGTCTCACAGCAGAAAGACTATGTCTGTGATGGAAAACAGATCCTTAGGGATGTGTAAACCAGAGAGAAGTGCCCACCCACCTGGGCCAGCGCTAGGAGGATTCCTGGGCAGGTGAACACAGTGCACTACTAGGTATTTTGTGCACTCAGTGTCCAGAGGGTTTCTTAGGGGCGCCTGGGTGGCTCGGTCAGTTGAGCGTCCGACTTCAGCTCAGATCATGATCTCACAGTTCGTGGGTTCAAGCCCCACATCAGGATCTGTGCTGACAGCTCAGAGCCTGGAGCTGCTTCAGTTTCTGTGTCTCCCTCTCTCTCTGCCCCTCCCCCACTTGCTCACTCGCGCTCTCTCTCAAAAATGAACAAACATTTTAAAAAATTAAAAAGAGAAAAAACAGAATAAGGGTGATTGTCAGCAGCTGCTTTGCCCTGGCTGGGGTTGGGGGTGTGGAGGGGGGTCGATCATTCCATTAAAAAGAAACCTGAGTTAGGCATTCTTCTGTGTAATGTGGACAATTCTAAATGAGGTCTAGATTTTTAGCGGCGGTGAAATAAGTAAAAATAGAGATTGGGGCACTTGAGTGGCTCAGTCGCTCAAGGGCCCAACTCTTGATTTCGGCTCAGATCATGATCCCAGGGTTGTGGGTTGGAGCCCCAGCATGGAGCCAACTTAGGATTCTCTTTCTCTCCCACTGTCCCTCCCCTGCTCTCTCTCTCTCTCTTTTTTTTTTTAAATGTTTTTTTTTTTTTTAATTTATTTCTAGGAGACAGAGAGAGAGACAGCGTGAGCAGGGGAGGGTCAGAGAGAGAGGGAGTCACAGACTGAAACAGGCTCCAGGCTCTGAGCTGGCAGTCAGCACAGAGCCCGACGCGGGGCTCGAACCCACGAACCGCGAGATCATGACCTAAGCGAAAGTCGGACACTTAACCGACTAAGCCACCCAGGCGCCCCTGCTCTCTCTCTCTTGTGCGCACACTCTCTCTCTCTCTCTCTCAATAATAATAATAAAAAAATAGAGATGGGCTAAATGCAAGCACAGCTGAGATGTCAGGTTATTGCCGTTTGCACACCTGGGTGGCTCCGTGGTCTATCCAACTGGGACATCCACCACATGCCCACATCACATGCCCAATCATTTCATGGGGAAATACTAGTTTTATTTAGTAAGTAGTAATTTGGCTGATGTGTGTTTTTTGAGTTTTTTTTTTTTTTTCCTAGAACACTGCATATTCTTTGACCTCTTCCTCGATTAAAAAAAATATATATATCGGTGTGGTATGTGATATTGTCTGGGTCAAAATAATCAAGGTAATAATTGCTATTCAGAAGTATCTCAGTACTGGTCAGGCTCTGTGCTGGATTTGCGACCTACATTCCATACATCCATCAGTCTCGGGAGGCAAGGGCTTCTCAAACCTGCTCCACGGATAAAGAACCCGAGGTTCAGAGAGTACGCTAATGTAAGTGAGGACACACTGCTGGTAAGTGGTGGGGGCCGGCGCGGGAGCCATGGTCAGAAGTCATCTACAGCCCATACTATGCTGCGCCTCTCCGTGGATGCAGATATTGTGTATCATAATTCACATTTCCTTTCACTACCCCAAGAGATGTCGCAGGTGAGAAAAAGAGGGCTCTGTGCACAAACTACTGGTATGGAATACACAGCTAGAGCAATAAAATATCAAAATAAGTGGTGCGAATAAAGAAAAAGACGGCACTGGGTGACAATATGGTCATCTACATATGCAGTGCCAGACAACCTCAAAAGATAGGGGCTCACCATCAGCTCCATGCCTGCCTCATAGAAAAGTCAGTATGTTAGACCCACACTTACGGCAGAGGCTACGTCTGTCAGTGAAGAGAAGAAACAAATCAGCTCAGTTTTCTCTGACAGGCCAACAGCTGCCTTGAGCTACAGCTTCCTGTGTCCTGTGGCTGCCGTTACCCCGATTTCATTCACAAGCTTCGTCTCAAGTTTGCAAGGAGGAGCATTTCCTAGGAAACTTTTACATTTTTTTTTCGAAGTGTATTCATTTTTGAGAGATTGGGAGCGGAGGAGGCACAGAGAGAGGGAGACACAAAATCCGAAGCAGGCTCCAGGCTCAGAGCTGTCAGCACAGAGCCCGACATGGGGCTCGAACTAATGAACTGTGAGATCATGACCTGAGCTGACATGGGATGCGTAACCTACTGAGCCACCCAGGCGCCCCTCAGAAGCCTTTAATCCAGGCACAGGAGCCAAGATGTGGAACTCTCTGGAGGAGGACAGGAGATCAACACCGCACAATATACCTGCCGCTGCCCTCAGACCAACAGTGCCCCAGGCAGGGCTGACCAGCCACTTGCCCTTCGGGGTTGTCAGGAACATGAGAGACTTGGCCTAGGGAGGGTGACCTCAGGTCAGTAGACCGAGTAGTGTGAACCGCTGATAGACATCAAGGGTGGGGGGGGGGACCTAGAATGAAGAATGAGGAAAGGACTCGACCAGAACAGTGGTATCGCGTGGAGTCGTGCCCTGGCTGTCAACTCTTGTGGGTCCAGAACGGTTGTGGCTGGATCTGGCTCACCCTGACTTCCAACTCAGTAGTTCCAAGAAGATGAGATCTGAGCGGAGCAGCCCCAGGTCAGCCGAGGGTCGCATCCCAAGAACGGGCCAGACACCACAGCACTTGGTGTCAACGCGAGGACAACGAAGAAGTGAGGGCGACGCCCACGTGAGAACATAGGAGGCCCCCCAAATCTCCCCTGCTCCTGCCCTAGCTGGTAACCCTGGGAGGCCTGGAGAAGAGGTGTTAGAGTGGGGAGACCCCCCCAATTTCTGCCTGTACGGTAGCAGGAAGAGAAGGGTCTAGTGGGGGTGGTTCCAGTTCTGCAGGGATGGAACTCGGGAATGAACAGGAATCAAGGTTAGGACTCAGTGATATGAGGGGACCCCCCCGGCGTAGGGCAGAGCCCTTCAGTTTTGCCTGGCGAGTCACAGGGATGGGAGGGCTGCAGTGGAACAGGTGGCCCAGGTGCCACAGAGGGAGGAGTTTTGGCTCTCATTGGTGTCCAGGTGAGGACCCTAGGTAGTAATGAGAAGAACCTTCCCCAAACCATGGGGCTTCCCAGAGCCCCCCCCCCCCCGCTCTTGCCTGTTTACCCCAGCCCTACCCCTAATGCAGGGGTAAACAGACTTGGGCCCCATGTCCTGGGCCCTCAAGGAGGTGAGGACTTGGGTGTGAGGGTGAAAGACCCAGATCAGTAGATGGAGGAGTCCAGGCTGTGACAGTCCCATAGCTGCTGTCAGCCCTCAGAGCTGCCATAGAGCCTTGGCCAGATGCAGCTCACCCTGACCTTCTCCCTGGGGAGTCCAGAAGGTGACGCATCAGTCTGAGGGGCACAGACTCAGAAAAGGGGAGGACGGAGTTCCAGGCCTTGTCAGGTTTCCAGGCGGGGCCCCTGAATGTAGACTGAGGAACTCACTCTGTCCATAACCAGGGGGGCTACCCAGTGATCCACGCCGCCGGTCCCTCCCACCCCCTGCCCTCTCTCAGTCCCGGGAGCGGGGACAGAGCTGTGGGCTGACTTCTGCCCGGAAAGGAAGGGCCCTGGTCTAATGAGATGGTCCCAATTCTGCTGAGAGAGGAGACTGAGACCAGGTCCCAACTGGAATCCAGGTGAGGAACTCAACTACCGACCGGAGGACTTCTCTCCGAAAGAGGAGGCCGCCCAGAGCTCCCCTGGGAGGACTGGGAGCCCCAGGCAGGAGTCGCCACACGTGGTGCGCCCCGAACTCTCCCTCCTGGGAGGCGAGGAGGCCAGGGCTTTGTTCGGAGGCTGGTCAACTCACGTCAGTAGAGACTCCCAGTGAGCCCAGGTCAGAGAAGGCTCTCCCTGAGCTGTCAGCCCCAGGTGCCCCGCCCGCCCCCGGCAGGGATGGTGGCTGAGGTGTCCCTTCACCCCCTCTTAGGGATCCCAGGGAGGAGAGGGCCAGGTTTTAGGTGTCAGCACAGCAGAAGGGAGGGGCGCAGGGCCTGCCGACAGTGCATACGATGGTGCTGACTGCAAACCGAGAGGATCCTCACCACCGGCCCCTACTGTCACCGCAGGCGAGGCTGGCAGGCTGCGGCCCAAGGTGAGATCTTACTTCCCCGGGGGACCTCAAG